CAAAGCACCTACCATGTGACAGGCACTCTTCTGGGCCTGGGGATATGGCCATTCACAAAGCAGGCATTTTTTCAATCCTCGGGAAGCTTATTTTGAAGTTCAGCGGGGACAAAGATCAGCAAACATATAAAGTCAAGTGGTGACTGGTGCCTGTATTGTGTCAGTGAGTGCTGTTCATTCATTGAACAAATAGTACGGAACATCTTCAGAGCACCAGAGACCAGAGGAATTCAAAGGTGAGATAGGCAAGGTCCTGTTTACTTTGCTGACTGCCAGTCCTAGCGTCTGTCTCCTCACCTGAAAATGCCTTTATCTCTGAGTCAGTGAAATGCAAATGATCCACCTGAGGCAGGTAGGCCACAGGAAGAACTGGAGTTGATCCCTCAGAGTCCTGAGCTGGAAAGCCGTCTTGCAGGAAGGAGTGTGCGTGACCGGAAGAGCAGGCAGGATCCAACAGGAGCCCTTCAGCTCAAGTCTAGAGGACATCCAGCATTGTGGAAGGAGCCACAGGTCAAGGGCAAGGACGGGGATCAAGACCCTCCCTCACTTCCCTTCTTGAGTGATTTTATTGCCCCAACTGCCTCTCTATAGGGATACATCAAAGCCTTATCACTACAGAGGAGGGAACGATGTGGGGGGAGGGGCTGATGGTTTGCTGGAGAGGCTCTGTTCTGTCTGGCTAGGTTTGGGAGAGAAGACACCCAATGGGTAGAGGGAATGGCAGTATCTTGAGAGAGAAGGGGCTGGGCAGCAGCATGTGGAAGTAAGAAGCCTGTTCGAGCACTTAAACCTTCAACTGTGATCCCACCGGGCCCGGTGCATGTGAACTGAATTAAATTCCAAGGAAGAGCACTGGAAAACACCACTGATTTGCATTTCCATTCTGTGGACACACAGAACAGTGACGAAGCTATAGATCAGGCAAAGGCTGAAAACTTAGCCATGTCACTAGCAGGTGTGTGACCTTACTTAACAAAAAACTCATTTTCTCACCTGCAAAATAAGACCGAAAATCATAAAACCTCCTTTAATCCATCAGTATGAGAATTACATAAGCACCTGGGAAGCACTCAGAAAACTGTCAAAATTATTACTATATTATTATTACTGTTATTAAGAAAGAATGATAAAAAGACAAACATTTTCTAGCTTCCATTCTGTGGTTCACCTGCCGCCAGGCATGAATCCCATTAAGCCTCCTGACACCCGCCCACCCTATTCACAGACAGTGAGGAGAGGTGAAGTCCTCATGAGTACGTCAGTGTTCTGTCTCATTTCTGTGACCCACAAAGGAATGTACCAGCCATTCGCACCACACATCCAGGAACTGTGGACCAGACTCCCATACCACACTTCTGCTTCGAACCTTCTCCCTTGCCTCACCTCTAGCTCATACACACCTCCGAGCCCACAGATTTCCACCCAGATAGCAGCTTCCCACCTGCAACACAGCTTTACCTCCTCCTTCCTCACCAGGGTTTCTTCCAGCAAGGCACAGCCTTCCAACGCCACACTCCAGGAAAAGTCCCACCAATGCACACACTGCACTAGGACTCCTAATTACTGACCAGGGTCAAAGTCTCAGGTTCATTCAAACAGTTACTAAATGTGTTACTGTGCTTCCTGCATTACCATCCAAATACCTAATCCCAGGGACACTTCCAGAACCCCCCACTTCCAGAACCCCCGCCCTGGTGCACTCTCAAGTCGATCTCTAGAGATGCATGTAATGGCCCTTTAGCCTACAAGATAAATTTAAATCTACTTAGCAAATTAAATTTTTAAATCTCCATTTCCCACAGCCCCCTTCACGCTGCTCATTCCAAACACAGCCTCATGCATAAACCTTCCCTATGGCTGCATATGCCTAACACATCCAAAATCCGTATCTTACCTGTCCTTCTTCCACATGGGCAAGTCCTACTCAGCCCTAAAGATTCTCTTCAGACACCACTCCCTCTGTGGTTGCTTCCCTGAAGTCGACCCTCCTCAATGCAGAGCAGCCAAAACATACCCTTATAACAGCACACACACACACACACACACACACACACACACACACACTTGTGCTCTCAAGGAGGACAGGGGCTGTGTTCCCTCATCTTTGTACTCCTGGGGCCAGCCAGTTGCAGAACTTGTGCACCTCACGCACTGCTCTTCTCCTTTCTGTGTACAAATTAGCTGCGTGTTCCATCCCCTGCTTTTACCGGGTCACCAGGCATCATCTGTCTTGACCAAAAACCCATCATTATCCCAGCATCTTAAGCCATAGTTCTGAAATCAAATCCAACCAGACTCTTCCCTGTTCCCAATTAACCGGTGCCAAGTTCACAGTGAAGTAAAGTCACATATTAACACCAAGATCAAAGTTCTGGGCTGTAGTTTTGAGCACATCTCTAATTAGCCCTGTGACCTTGGGCAAAGGTTCACATGCTGATGACAGTGTTACCAGGCCCAGTTCTCGGGGGGATTGTTTGATATCCAAATGGAATATCTGATGGGAAACTGTTTAATCAAGTGCAGAGCCCTGCACATTCATAAAGGGTATAATGAACAAATTTTATCAAATCTAACCATCAACTGTTAAGATGTACCATTATCAACTTAGAATGAAAAACTGCTCAGCCATGACACATCTGTGATTATAAGAGAACCCAATTTCAGTCATATTAAAATGTGAAGTGTGTTTTAGAATTAATGAAATAAAATTTATTTGTCTCAGTAAATTTTGCTACAAATTTGCTACAAATTTGCTACAAATTTTTCATATTTGCCAATGGTCCATAATAGGTACTTGGTAATATATGCCAAGTAAATGAATGAACACCCACTGAGAATACTCTTAGGCCAAATTATTGCCTCTCTCACTAGAATTGGGCAGCAGGAGGCCTCCCAATGCCAGTTCCTCCCCCTCTCAATCATGTCCCAGCCTGATCAAAACCCTCAAAAGAGGACTTCAAGTCATACCCCAACTCCCTTCATAATGAAGCCTCCTCTCCACCAACCACTGTCTGGAACTGTCTACCTTCCCAGAACAGTGACTTCTCCACCAGAACATGTCACCACAAAAAGAGTCCTACCTCAGTCCCAGCCGTAGTAACCAGCTCAGCACCTCAGCTTCTCCTCCCTCCAACCATCCCCAAAGCCAACTCTAGGCCTACCCACTGCTTACAAGGAGCAGAAGCCTGGGAGAGAATGCCTGACCCAAAGGGCCCAGGCCTGTACCCTCAACCAGACAGCTAACCCCAACTACTCATCTCCCATCTAGAGTCTACATTCTAGACTATAAAAGCCTGGATGTTGTGGATGGGGGACTGCCTTGCAAAGATTAAATTCAAGATACACACTCTTCCTTTTAACTGACCCCTGGTGCTGGCAGGAACCTGGAAGGAAGGAAGGCTGGTTGTGGGGTGGAGAGAACCCTATTTCGAGTTCTGGACCCCCCACCATCCACCATTACTCACTGTAGTCTCCAGAACTAGCACCCACCTCCTCTGGGCCTCTATGTTTGTTTTCCTACCTGTAAGAGTGAGGGAGAGTAAGGAATTGGGGGTGGGGGGCAGTTAGCTGCTTTCCCTCCTTCTATCTAGAGACTTTCTTAAAATGCACAAGTGCTGGGAAAGGTAAGCCATTAAGTCACTAACACCTTAGTGAAAATGAGTTTCATTAGGAGGCAAACAATTTAGAAAAGGGTAATGGAAACAAAGTTAACTGAGTCTGGTACTAGGAAAGCAGCTCAGGGATGACCCTACATTTTTGCATTTTGTGTTGAGGGCAGGAAGGCAGTGAATCCCTGGGAGGGGAAAGGAAGCCAGAGAGCCCTTTCAGTTCCCGGAGCACTCCCTAGTCCCAAAGGCGTCGCTCTGTCGAGTACTCAGGCACAACTCCACTCTTTATCTCATCTCATGTACCCCCTCCATCCAACCCTATGCCCCCAACACAGTCACATTTACAGTTTCATCTCCACTCTCCACATTTTATTTAGTCTTCTCTGGTCTGCATTCCCCACCCCCACCCCCGCGCAAATGGCCTTCCTGTCGCTGGCTGGCTTCAGGAAACCCCCTATCCTTCAAAGCCTTGATCAAGCGCGGCCCCTCCAAAGGGAGAAATCAAACTCCTTTCCTTAAGCGCCTGAAAACTTTATCCATGGCTTTCCCACCCCCCTCACCCCCCGCACTCTGCACTCAGGTCAGCTTGGGCACCTTGGTTGCCTGCGTGCTCCCTGAGGGCAGGGACTGGGCCCCACCAGCCTCTCTGACCCCGCACACTCAGCACAAAGTGGGTGCTGAAGAAATGCTTGGAGAAAAAGAACCAGGAGTTGGGAACCTTCTATGTCAGTTATGGCTCGGCCTCTACAGAGTGACTCGGGGAGGCCCTCCTTCTCTCTGGGCCTCAACTGAGCCGACTGTAAAATGGGGGGACTCGAATTACCGGGTTCCTAGGCCCTTTCCACTGTGACAACTGGGATTCCGCGAAAGCTCCCGTCGGCTGGGTGTGGCCCCGCCCCCTGGACGCCCTGAAAAGCCCGGGCAGGGGGCGCTCAGGGAAGGGCGCCAACCCCGCCCAGCCCCAGGTCGGCGCTTCCCGAAACCTCGGGGTCCCCCTCCCCCATGCGTGCACCCCGTGATTGCGCCGCGGCCGGCACTTCCGCACCTCGGGCCCTGGGGCCCGGGCTGGGCGCGCACTCTGCGCCCTGCGCCCCGCGCTCCTGCCTCCCCGGAGGCGCTCGCGCCAGGGGAGGGCCGGGGGTTCCCGAGGCGCCCGCGAGCGGAGGGTGGGGGGAAGGAAGGAGGATTTGCAACAATACCTCGGGGAGGAGGCAGCCGGGGCAGCAGCGGCGGCGGCGGCGGCGGCGGCGGCGGCTGGAGGCGGAGGCAGAGGCGAAGGAGGAGGTGCCCGGGCACTCCCCCTCCCATTGTCCCCGGCCCCGGACAGGCCCGGCCCCGCGCCCCGTACCGCGCCCCGCGCCCCGCGCCCCGGGCCGTGCAGCCAGCCCTTACCTTGCAGCGCCCGGCTCTCCCCTGCTCGCTATCGCTACTTATCCCGGGAAAGCTCGCGCGGGGCCTGGGAGCGGACCCACAGACAAAAAGTGAAACTTCGGCAGGGCTGGAGCGGCTGCTGGTTGGTGCCTTTCCCCCTCCTTCCTCCCCACCGTCCCCACCCCCTCCCCTCGGGCTCCCGTGCGGTGCCCTGAGAGCTGGAGGCTGACGTCAGGGGCCTGAATTCCTGACTTTGCCTGCACGCATTTGTCCATGTAAGGTATGGGAGAGCGTGTGCCCGCGGGGCCGCCGCGCAGCGCTTGCCTGGCGGGGGAGGGGGCGCCCGCTGGGGCTGCGGCTAGGCCAGAAGGTGGGCGCGCGGAGGGCATGTTACTTCCTGGGAGGAAGAGGAGGAGACGCGGGGATGCAGGGAGCTTGCAAAGGAGAAAGGGAAAGAGGGAGGTGTGGAGGCTTTGCCTGCGCTGAAGGAAGAGGAAGCAGACGTAGAAGGAGGAAGCGGCTGAGTGGAGGGGCTGCTGAAGAAATGGGGGGACGTGTCTACTATGGAAGCGCCAATTTAGGGCGCTGAGCCTCAGCTGAAGACACCCTGGCATGGAATTCCCTTCGGAGATCTCGCTCCTGAGCCTCTCCCTGGATTCCCAGCAACATTCATGAACCTACTGGATGGCAGAGCTGGCAAAGGCCAACTTCCCAACCCGCCCACTTCACACAGGAGAAAACCGAAGCCCTGGGAAGAGAAATGACTTGCCCAGGGTCATACACAACACAGATCCAAGCGCGGGACCCGGATGCTTAGGCTCCCAGTCGTGTTCCCGCCGCCAGGCAGGGCCCTGACCCCTTTCATCCCACTGAGCCGTGAACCAGGCTACGTGTCCCTGGACAACGCGGACCACCCTGTGAAGAGCTTGCCAACTTCTCTTGGTCCCCGAGTCAGTTCCTGGAAGGTTCTGATTGACAGCCCTGAGTAGCAGTGACAATCATTTGCTTCAGGGCAGCTTCCTCTGTCCTGTACTCAGAGGAATCCCTGCAGTTTAGCATTTACTTCCCAGCCTTGTCCCTGAAGCCCAGAAAGCTTGCTGTGAACTTACAGCTTCAAAAAAAAAAAAAAAAAAAGGAAAAAAAAAATCTGTGAACTGGGTGAACTGGTTTGAATAGAGGCAAGCCTGTTCTTGGAAGGTTTGAGTCGGATTTTTTTCCCTCTGACATTTGTAAATACGAAATACAAGCAACCATGAAAACCACCATTTACTTTGTCAAGAGGTTGTAATGTTCAGCAGCTAGTGCCTGGAAGGCACTCAAGGCTGTAGAGTTTGTTTCTTTGTATTTCTGGCCTCCTGGTACCTAAAATAATCATCCCTCACCTCAGCATATCATGAAAGTGCTTTTTCACGGGTTTATTAGGTCTTTGTGTTAGGTGGGACAAATTGTAGTCCCTCTTTAATATCTGAGGATAAAAAAGCAGGTGAAATGATTTGCCCAACACAAAATAAAGGACTGAGCTAACACATGAACTCACCTCCCCCAGTCCAGGTCGCATGACTAATGGTGGGGGCGGATGTCCACCCAATAAGGAGGCCCTGACTCCCAGCAGGACATAATTCCCATTCATGGATGTTGAGAGTACTTATTCTTGAAACTTCCAGAACTTGGTTCTTCTTGGCTTTGGAGGGATTTTTTTCAACCAAGAATTAAAGAAGTGAATGTAGAAACACAGGTTATTGCACTTACCGTTTCTTGAGCACCTTCTTTGTGCAGTCTTTTAATTCAGACATTCCTGGGTTCAGATTACTTAATCTCTCTTCCTCTCAATTTCCCAGCTACACCTGCAAAAATTGAAAATAGCAGAGATAAGGTAAAGAGTACCCATGCCATGCAATCATGAAACATATTTTTCTTTGCAACTAATAATATAGTTTGAAATAGGAAATATAAACTCTTAAAAGAGATTTTGTCCTGGGGCTTTCAAGAGTCAGATCCTATTACAACACAATTCACTTAGTCTGTCTTCAACATTGCAGCAAACTCATATTCTGAATGCTGTTTAATACCAAAAAACCCTGGTATCACTCAAAGTAAGAATGGGTTCACCCAGTCCCCATCCAAAATAACGGGACTTGACCAGCATTTCTTTTTTCTTTTCCCTAGTAACCCACTTAAAAAGAATAATAGGGTTCTAATGAGGATTAATAAGATTTAATAAGGTCTAATTAGAGTCATTCATTTCCTCCATCATACACATTATAAGAGTGCTGTGTTGGATCCAGAAATGCTACTAATTATGTTGAAACTGTTGTATGGGTGTGTTGGGGAAGATCCCTATGTTTCTTCTGAAATATTGAGGAATTGCTCAGGTGGACATGGTGTTAGCACAAGCATTAAAGTTAATCAGGAAAGATCGTTTCGACTCACAAGGCACTCACCAAGAGTATAAGAAGCAGAGTCATAAATTGGATGCTTGGTCAAGGGCATGTGGGGTAGTCATCAGTGCAAACCCATGTCAAAAGCTTCATTCTCATTTGCTGATCTGGTTTCTTTTGTATTCTCACTTTTTTCAACATGCCCATTAAAACCCGCTGTGTTCAGGGGCTTAAGAAAGAAGGAAACATTGTGTGAATTTGCAGATTCAATGCCAGAGAAATACAGGATTACCCATTCAGAGACTAAAGGAAGCACAGGATTTCAGGTGGGGCAGAGGTCCTGTGATCCCAGGATGGCAAGCTGGTGGTCCGAAGGCCTACAAAAGCATTCTCACTGTTCCAGTGATGGCACACAAAACTTCCAGGAATGCAGGCTGTGGTCCCACCATTCCCTTCCATCTGCTACAGCCCCTTACCCAAAGGCCTCTGTGTAGCTCCTGGCAGTCCAGTCCCCGTGCTTAAGAGAAGCAAGGCAGTATTCTGAAGACTTTTCATTTGCTTTGTATTTAACCTCACAAAACCTTTCTAAGGTCAACAGTATTATTTTTCTCTATTTTGCCCTTTTGCCCACAAGGAAAGTAAAGCCCAGGGAGGTTAAGTAGCTTGCTCTTAACACAGAGCTGGTACATAGGGAAGCTGAGACTCCCCCTTGAGCCCAGGCAGCCTGGCAGTAGCTCGCCTATTGCCGAGTGAACATCTGGTCTCAGTCAGAACACTCCAGTGTGCAGAACTCATAATCCCCCACAGCTGACCAAAGGGAATAGATATGAAGAGGCTATTGGAGAAATACTAAGGACAAGAAGAGCAGGGAAGATGGAAGCTAAACACCAACCTGATGTTGCTTCTACCCAGCTTAAACGCATCAGGCCAAACCCCTTTGGTGTGGTTAGCACAGCCTTTCAGCCTCATCTCTGCCCATCCTGCCCATGCAACCACCCTGCGGCCAACGGAGGTCTCATGGTTTTCCAAACACTTCTTACCTATCTGCATTCATCTGCCTTTTCATGGGTTCTTCTTTCTCACAGCAGTGCCCTTCCTTCTCCATCCACCTGGCAACCCTTACCTAACCTCTTCGGACTCCCCAAAAATATCACCTCCTTTTTGCCCCTACCACCACCTCCAATGGATGCCTTGCCCCCAAAAAATATTCCTGTCACTCTGCTTACCCTCAGTCCGTATGACTCTGGATTATGTCATTGATCACCTTGTCTTTCTCTACTACTGGACTGGGGCTAATTTGTCTCTGAGTCCTTAACACAGTGCCTGCCTTGATCATTGTACACATCCAGCTGTTTCCCCCCACCCCTTCTTCTTCCTGATCAAAGGCAGAAGATTATGCAGGAAGTATAGGCCCTATGTGTTTAAATAAAATCAGACATCTCCCTCAAGAGATAAGGCCTGAATGTCAGCAGACCAGAGGAAGGGAGAGGAAGAATAACAGGAGCCTGACCATTTGGAAGTAGAACCAGGATTGGCAAGGGAGGCAGAGGAGAGGAAGGTGAGTAATCCTTTCCTTGCCCTCAAATTGCTGTGTAACCTCAGAGCAAGTCACTTTCTCTCTGGTCTCAAGTTCTTTATCCATACATTAGGTTCTTAGATTTGATATTCTCATACATTCTCCCAGATCTTCAATTCAACACTACTTTCAACCTATTGACCAAATTCATCTTCTCAAAGGGTAGCCTGCCACATTATCCTCTGAACTTCTGAAACTTCTGAAGTTTCATGATATCAACTTCATTAAGTCCGTGAGCTGTCCCTTCCTGGTTCTGTGATCGAGCCCTCATGGGCTGCCCCACAGACTGCACCTCCAGCCCTCCCCCATCACCACCACATACACACACACTTGCACACAGAGCTTCTAGTACTTTTTGCTTCCAGCCTTTTCTCATTTAGTTTCCTCCTCCTAAAATACTTTCCTGGGCCCATCTCCACAAATGCAGATTTTACCTGTCCTGCCAGCTCCCTTCCAAGCAATCTTCTCCCTGTTGCTCCTTCCCTCCGAGTCTTCTCCACTGGATATGAAAATAATTGCTCTATCTTCTAGAAAATGTACATACTTGATTGTCCCATTGCATTGTAAATTTTTTTAAGTGTGTTTGATCTCTTCTTCTCAAACATAAAACCCTTCACAATAGGCTTCCTGTGTTGTTCATTTCTCGTCCCCACCAATCAAGGCAGATCTTGGGACTTAGGACCAAATGCTATCCAGTGAGTGAACGAGTGAATCCTTCATCTTGGCTAGAAAAGCAACACAATTGATGCCTTCCCTCTGGAACATTAGTCATGTTATCTTAGACCATGACTCTGGGCAAGGGCTGGGAGGGATGCGGGGGAAGGAAAGGGTGATTTCGCATGTATTACAATGTGCCCTGGTGTGCACAGATCTAGGCCTTCCCATATTTAACATGTATAAATTTTATAAATTCGGTAAGGATAGAGTTCTATAGCAGTAGACACAGAATTAGAGCAATGGTAATTCTGCCACTTCATATCACATAAATTCTTAAAAGAACACCCAAGTTTACCTTTTTCCAGGACAAACTAAGCACAAGTGACAGTTTTAATATTTGATGTACCAGCTCTATAATTGAACTTAGTTCTGTTCCTAAGACTGTTGTACCAGTGCACGATGCAAACATGACCTTTGGCCAGGTCAGATAAGCATCAGCCTTTTGTAAAGAGATGAAAACTTGATGTAGTAAACAGTAGTGGTAGGCTTTTC